GATGAAGCCCTCCTTGGGAACTGTCCTTAGCGGAATGACAGTTCGAAGCCTTAGAGAAGGCTCCCCCAGATGATATGCCCCCTTCTTTGGGCAAGCCACTTCCCACGACCATCTATGTGCTGTCAATGTAGACCATCCCTTCTGTTTGTGTTGTGAGGGTTCCATCACGGAAGACTACTCAGACATGGTTTAAGTCAATAGAAAAGTCTTTATTAGCTGGCTGGCAATTACACTGGGTGTTCGGAATTCTCCCACAAGCACAAAATCCATACCCTGGGTTGACATATTTCAGTTCAGTTAGCCAGAAGCAGAACCACAGAAGCCAAAAGCAAGAGACTTTCCCAGAGCTCTGATGGATTCGGTATTTTTGTTTTGGCAGGTGGTACTGTCTGCACGCTGAGTTTTATGGTAGTGGTGGGGACTGTTACAGTGCCTCCATTGCAGCTGGTCACAGCTCAACCTTTCTTCTCCAAAAAGCCACCTGCACACCAGGATCTGTCTTCCTCCCATGGAATCCAGCCTGTACCAAACCCCAGCTACTCTGAGACATTTGTTACCACTAGTTCAGATTCTTCTCTTAAGCAATGACAGTCCTTGCATTTTTGTCCTGTCTCGCCTATAATCTCAATCTTAAGCAATGGTCACAAGAATGCCAGTGTGAGCGTCCTCCCTTCCCCAAAGCCTCTCAGCAAACCCTGCCCATTCTCGGCTGCATTATTTGAATTTGCCTTCCTTACCCCCAAGTTCAAAACAGCTCAGTGCATAGCGGGGTGGGAGCTCAAATGGTTGTAAATGTGTAAAAATCATACAGACTGCAACAAACACCTGAAAATAGTTTGTCTTAAGAGAGCACGCATAACAGCACAAGAAAACCTATAAATTTTCTCATTACTGTTGCAACACCCAGAGGCAAACATTTTCCTGAATTTGGCTTTCAGCATTCTTATGCTTTTAAAAAATGATGTTAATAAAACACAATACTACTAAATGGTATTGTGCCATATGCATCCATTATAGACTTTTCTCTCAACAGTGAGAAATTAATGTTGATGTATGTAAAAGCAATTTATTTTTTATTACCACGGAGCATTTTACCAGGGAACTGATTTGTCAACTCTCCTGCAGATGATATTTTGATTGCTTTTTCCCATCCTCCACCTCCACTGGGCGAGAAGATGCAATGAACCTTCTTTTCTTTGCACAGCTGGGTGCTCTGCTCCAGGGTACATACCCTGAGGGAAACTGCTGAGTTGCAGAATATCTTTATCAGCTAGAAATTTCTAAATGGCCAAAGTTATTGAATGCATTTGATCCCCTCCTGCAGGCCATAAAAGCTTGTCTTTGTTTACAAACCCACATCAGTCTTGGCATTGTTTTTTTTTTTTAACCAATCTTTTCCTTGTCAGACAGTATATTGTTGTTTTTGACTTGCACACCTAAAAACCAGTGAATGTGAGTCACTGATGGCTGCCATGCAACAGCTGTGTCTCACCTACAGTCACAGATATGTAAGGGGTGGGAGTGAGAGGTCCTCCCAGGAATCCTGTTTCTAGCAGACCTTGGAACTTGAGAGATCTGGCAAAGCTAGATTAATAACCATTTCCTAGCATATCCTAGAGTGTTCCCTGAAAGAAAATTTTAGTGGCTCAGAGCTGTAACCCCAGCTTCTCAAGAGGCTGAGGCAGGAGAGTAGAAATGAAAAGTTGGGTGTGCTCACTTCAGAGATTATCATGGCCTCTGTAAAAGGACGACACACAGACTGCTGTGCTCCCCCATGTTTGTACATGTGCACATGTGTGAACAGAAGCCAGTAATCTACATCAGATGTCTTCCACTATTGCTTGCCAATTTATCTTTGTCACCGTTTTGTTACATGTGAAAGTTAAAACTTTCATTTTTAATTAGACAGGAAAGGGGATTCCCCTCTGTGTGCTGTTAATATGTTTTACTGCCATTGGTTAATAAAGAAGCTGCTTTCAGCCAGTGGCTTAACAGAATAAAGCCAGGTGGAAAATCTGAACAGAGATGGAGAGAGAGAGTAAGTGGAGTCAAAGAGACGCCTAGTCCGGAGGAGAAAGACAACTGGGGGAAGCCCGCTGGAACCTTGCTCCTAGAATAACAGAAATGTGTTAATGTAAGATATAAGAGCTAGCTAGCAATATGCCTAAGTAATAGTCCAAGCAGTGTTTAATTAATATAGTTTCTGTGAGATTATTTCGGGTCTGGGCGGCCGGGAAACAAACAAGCAGTCTCCGCCTACAATGAATTTTCTCTCTACACCTGGCACTCATCCCTAGACTATTCTAGGGATCTCCCTTTCTCTGCCCACTCAGCACTAAGGTTCTAAAACACACCAGGCTTTCATATGAATGCTAAGAACCCCAACTCAGGTCCTTACGTTTATATCACGGGCACTACGGTATGAGCTGTCTCACCATCCTAGTGTTTCATGTTTTTAAAATAGACAAACCTGAGCCCAGGTGTGTAATCCCGGCCACCAGAGGCCTCAGGTGAAGGATCCTCAAGTTCAAGATTAACTTGGCCTATAATGGCCAGGCCCTCTATCAATAGAATTAACATATAAGAGACTGGAATGAAGTGGAACAGTGCAATGCCATGGGTTCTGTTCCCAGTACTGAGAGAAAAAGTCTTAGAATCCTCTCCTGGTGAAATTCTCGCAGGCCACTGGGGCCAGGCATAGTGGTACACACCTTTAATTCCAGCAATTGGGAACCAGAGACAGGAAGATCTCAGTGAGTTCAAAGTCAGTCTGGTCTACATAGACCCTGACTTTTAAAAAAAGAAAAATGCTCCAGGGATCTTTCTGACCTCATTGTGAGACCTTCCCAGAGATGGGGTCCCAGTAGCTTCCAGGGAAACCCTTTGGGCAACATCAAAGACTGGGTTCTCTCCAGTTCAATCTGATTTATACTAATATTTAAAAAGAAAAAAGCCAGCAGGGCTAGGAGGAAGCACAAGAGCAGAAAGAAATGGAAAGCCCAGAAAAACCACAGTGGGACTCAACAGCTGTTAGTGACGGCTTGGGTGTACAAGTGGCACCTTAAGTCCAGTCATCGCCATTGCGCCCCCCCCCCCCCAGCCTTTTCTATATGCTGTCTTGTGGGCAGGGAGTGACAGTGAGATGACTGGTCTGGCCAAGTCTACAAATCAGGCTTTGTGTTAGAGAACACATGTTCATAGATGAAGCGGGTTGGTAAAGAAGCCAGGGCCAAACCTTGGTGATTAAGGACAGCGGTGTCATGACTGACAGTTACAAAGACAAAGCTGAGGTAGGGAATCTTCAGTAATGGCTACGGGAAGGGCATATGTGGTATTCAAAAGGTTGAAAAGGGATAGCATTGTGGAGTCAGCACTGGGACCCGTGCAAGAGTAGACAAGTCAGATAGATGTCCACATTCCTGTGGTAAGAAATCTGTTTGGGGAGAAGGCAGAGCCTGGCTGTTCCTCAGCCTGGTCTCCTGATCCAGTAGTGGAAGACACCTGATGTTGACTACTGTCTTCGGCCTGCACATGCATGTTCACACGTATAAACACGGAGAAACACAGCAGTTTGTGTGTCATCCTTTAGCAAAGGCCATGATAATCTCTGAAGTGAGCACACCCAACTGCCAGGTCTCTCAAATTCCAAGGTCTGCTAGAAACAGGGTTCCTGGGAGGACCTGAAGCTATGCTCTAAGGGTTGTGTCTGAAGGGATCACACAAGGTCTGTTGACACTGTTCCTGGTGTTTCCTGCCTGTGTCAAACGGGATCCCTGAAATGCCCTGTGGTTGTCACAGCAAACATTCACCGTGTACTATTTCAGGTCCTGAGGCCATCACTATGCAGGAAATGAAAAAAAGGAACAGGAGCCACGCCTTTGTGTGAAGTAAAGGCGGAGTCAGGTAGATGTTGCAGTTTATAAGGAGGTGCGGAAGGCTTCAAAGAATCGGTGCAAAGTTGAGAAGTACCGAGGACGAGTCTGGCATGCACCTGGGCTAATGTATACACAATACTTTAGTGGGATTTCTTGCACCCATCAAGTGCTAATCAACACCACTTGAAAGTGTGTTTAGAGGTCCAGGTCTCTGTGAATATAGTCAGAGCCTGGGTTAAACAAGGAGACCACAACATAAGGGGAAAAGGGTGGTAGAGTGCTTGTTTAGCATACAGGAGACCTTGAGTATCACGCCTAACAGGGTGCATGGGGGAGGGGTGGCGTTAAAAGACTTCTGGCAGTTGGCATTGCCATTGCTACCCTGAAGCTCCGGCCTGACATGTCAGCCTCTCACCCCTCAGCCTTGGTTCTAAGATCATAGAAATTAAACACCAATCACATAAGTACTTTCAAGCTGTCTGGTAGCTATGTTCCACAGCAAAAAGAAACATAAAAGCAAATATAAAAATATTTTTTCTGCGGAACCCAATATATATAAATTATCATTCAATAGGAAATTAGAAAATTAATATTTCCATGCTAAGCTTTTGGATATTGGATGTATCTCACAATTAAAGCATACTTTACTTCGGACTTAGTTTGAGGGGCACGAGCACTGGCAAGATGACTGATTCCTCATGCCTTCGTGCCTATTCGTTCTTCAGCTGAATCCGGGCGGATATGCCCCATCGCCTCTGACGTGCTCCGGTGGTAGTTGCTTCCTTCAATTCACCGTGTCGGTGTTTACTGACCTCGGGTCAATGCTAGTCGGCTGCGAGCAAACAAAGGCAGACTCGGACGCCAGACTCACGCGGTTCCCAAGTTCAGGGCCGGCCGCTCGCCCTCAGGGTCGGAGGCCGGGGTCCGGCGACCTCAGCCCTTGCCGCAAAGCCGGATAGCTCCCAGCGCAACAACCAGAGCACACGCAAATCGAAGGCTCCGCTAGCATGACTGCACAACTTCCACGCACTTCCCAGCGTCGCTTTTTCACGGCATCAATGAGCGCAGCAGCCGCGACGAAGGCGGGACTTCCGGAAGCGCCGAGTCACAACTTCCGGACGGAGGCGGAAGCGCCTCTCGGGTCTACGCTCGGGAGTCTTGGTATCGCCGTGGGGCCACCGGGGCACCGGAGAGGGCTTCCGGGGGTGCACCGACAGCGCTCGGGTGTCAGGGTTGCGAATCTGAGGGATGAGGAGGGACCATGGCCAGCGACGGGGCCAGGAAGCAGTTCTGGAAGCGCAGCAACAGCAAGGTCCCGGGCAGGTGGGTGTGACGGGGAGGGCCGGGTCAGGGTCAGGGGTCAGAGGTCAGATGGCTGTGTTGTCCTGTTGGACTGCTGGTGGAGTAGGGGTCTGAGGAGGGAAACCTGGGCTCCGAGGAAACTGGGGCGATGTGAGGGGCTCGGGGGATGGGGTCGGCAGTGGGGGCGTGGGGTCTGGGAGGTGACAGTGGCCGCACCTAGGAGCGAGGAGGACGAGGAACTGACCCCAAGTGTCTCCAGAGCCTGATAGGTTCTCTTCTGCAAAACTCTTTGGCTCCCTGGGGAAGGTGGAAGGAACTGACGCGGGTCATGCCCTGGAGAGTTTGGTGGAGTCAGGAAACTGGCCGGGGAGAGGCAGCGTCTGCCGGGGATGCTGGTCTCTGCAGGGTGTTTGGTGATTTTGACCACTTGATTGGCTTTCTTGTCTCTGGTGGGCTGATGCTTTTGCTTTGAGCGAGGAAGCCCCTTGTGAATTTGTCTGTTCCTACCTTCTGGCTCTAGACTCCAATCTTCTGACACAGCAGGAAACAGGTACCTGGGTGCAGTCTGGAAGCTATGGAGCTCCAAAGTCCTTCTGCGATTGCTCATGGCCTGACGCCTCTCCAGGTCTTAGGGAATGAAGATACAGTGCATAGAAAACACCTAAGCTCAAGTCAGCCACCGACTAGACCGTGTTTCAGACAAGCGCATCTCAAGATTTCAAACGTAGTTTATTTTGTTCCCAAACCAAAGCCTGAGATACCGGAACTTAAGATTCTGACGTTAGCCATCCTTTCAGCCCTTACGATTTTGACATTGAAGTAACTTAAATAGAGCCATTCAGTAGCAAAGAAAATGGGCTGTGCTCCTGCAAGTCACAAGAGATGCCATTGTGTGAGTGTTAAAATTGTAAACTTTGACATTCATTGCATTTAGCCATAAAATGTACTTTCAGAGTGGTTGGGAGGTAGCCGGAGTTATTGATTGAAGGGCCACAGTGATCGGGAGAAGGAGTAAGTCCTGAGAAGTGCCCAGATACTGTATTTTTTTTTTTACCGTACCAGGACCAGGCTCGAACAGTTAAGAACTGTTATACAAACCGATGTCTCATAGTTTGAGACAAGTGGAAGATACTGGGATAATAGTGAGGAGGAGGATCTACTGTCACAGGGACAAACTTGAAGAGCCTAGTGTCTTGTATAAAAAGAGTCACATGGCAGTATGACTTTTGCCTTTACATCTTGAGGCTTTGGTTCTCCTTAAGTGTGAACTAATTCACACTTAACTGAGAGTCAACTGAGATATAAAAACAATGGAGTTACTGTGTGGAGTTATAGAAGCCAATGAGCTTTTCCATCAAAGATGTGTGTGTGCGCGCGTATGTGTGTGCGTGTGTGAGTGTGTGTGTGTGTGTGTGTGTGTGTTTGTATGTGTTTTGAGATAGGGTCTCTTTCGTACTACAGGCTGGCCTTGAGCTTCTTACTCTCCTGTTTGTCAGTATCCTGGTATACACGTCACTACAGCTGGCATGGTAGTTTGTCATTGTACTGTGTTAAATAGTGTTGTCCCTTATACTTGTACAGATGGAACTATGACTGTGACCTTGCTTGGAAGTAAGGGTCTTTGTAGATGTCGCTGAGCTAAGATGAGGTCATACTTCCATTGGGTATCCCTGATTCAGTCTCTGGTTCCAGTAAGAAGGTGGAACTTTAGATACAGAGAGAGACAGAAATAAGGAAGATGACCCTGCCAAGGCGAAAGCAGAGATTGGAGTGAGGTATTTACAAGTCAAAGCCAGGGAAGGCTGGCAACCAGCAGAAGCTAGAAGTGGAAGGAAACAGCCCTCACTGATTGCATAGTCTGCTGACACCTTGGTTTAACGACCCAAAAGAGAACGCATTTCTGCTTCTTTAAGCTCCTATCTTTATGGTTGTTTGTTATAGGAAACTAATACAATCCCAGTCTTTTCAGTGTGACCCCACATTACCAAAGACAGATTTCTTTCCACTTGGCTTTCTTGCCAAGCTGCATCATATCAGGTACTTTTTAAATTTTTTAGAAGATTTATTTATGTTTTATATATATAGTGTTCTGCCTGCATGTATGCCTGCATAACGGAAGAGGGTATCAGATCTCATTACAGATGGTTGTGAGCCATCATTTGGTTGCTGGGAATTGAACTCAGGGCCTCTGGAAGAGCAGCCAGTGCTCTTAACCTCTGAGCCACTTCTCCAGCCTCCTATCATGTACTTTTTTTCTTTCTTTTTGTTTTTTTTCGAGACAGAGTTTCTCTGTGGCTTTGGTGCCTGTCCTGGAACTAGCTCTTGTAGACCAGGCTGGCCTCAAATTCACAAGGATCTGCCTGCCTCTGCCTCACGAGTGCTGGGATTAAAAGTGTGCACCACCACCACCCGGCAGTATCATATACTTTTGAGATGAACTCCCATGTCACAGAATTGATTGGGAATCTTGTGACTTGTTAGAGGCTGCTGCTGAGGACAGGGCAGGGGAGAGGCTGGACTCTGCAGAGAACGTGTGCAGCCTCTGTGTTGTCCTGTAGCTCTCCCTCGTGGCAGTGTTCCTGTTTTGGGTGACAGCCTGAAAGTCTCCCAGAAGGAGAATGTGCAGAGGTGTGCCCCATTTCTTCTTAAATGCCCACACTCTGGGTTTTCACCTGCGTCGTGCAATGCTGGCAGAGAGCTAGGCCAGGCTCCCAGGGTGTCGCCTGCTCTTTCAGTGGACCTTGCGTTTATTGTCTGCCACCAGGGAAGCCCTGAGGAGAAGCCCGAGGAGACACAGAATCTTACCTCAGAGTTCCAGACAGTGAAGGGAGCTCTGCAGAGCAGAACCTCTGTCAGTTCCTTGCTAGTGCAGATGTTGGATGGGGTTCCAGCAAGGCCTTGGTGCTCCACCAGTATTTTGTCTGCCAGGGATTTGTCATTTGCAAAACTTGGCTTTGTCCTCTAGGTAACACTCACCAAGGCAGGTTGGGTTTAAAACCCCTTGGATGCTTCTGTAGAAATGCGTGTCACGCACAGGTGTTTCCTTGTGCTGTCTCTCACCTTTCTAACCTGGCCACTGCTCCGCTGTATAGCTCCATCTCCTGCTCATTCTCTTTATGTGCCCCTAGCAGTGCTTGATGAGTTTCGACTTCAGGGCCTTCCACATCCCGTGTGGTACTAGCTTTCCATTTTCATGCTCATGTAGCTGACTGGAATGTTCCTTCCCTCCTTTTACTCTCCACATTGCATCTGCAGCCTGCTTCCTTAATGCCTTGCTGGTTTCTCTGCGGTTGGGACTCAGGCATCTTTTCACATACTGGCTTCTTCACTACTTCACTAGGCCACAGCTCTGCCTGTTTAGGAAGTAACCCCCCCCCCTTTCATTGTTAAAGACTGAGGAATAGTGGCTGATCCCAGCTGTCTCTCACATTAGCCTGGAGTGAGAACAAGATTTGGCCAAGAGAGCTGCTTGAGAGATGGTCTTCCTGTAAGAGCTTCTGATATTTGTACTTCCTGGTCTTTGGATGTGTGTTTGAGTGAGTCTTTTTTAGAATTTCCTTTTCTGGATGTGCTCACATACAGAAAGACTATACTTTCTACCAGAATGCTAGGGAGCTGACTGGGTTTTAACATCTCTTCCTGTGATCTGTGTGTTAGTCTCCAATGTATGCCGTTCCTGGAGCTATTTATTTCTGTATCTGTAGTGGGAGGGGGCTACATTGATCAGGTGGCCATGGGAGCCAAGGGAAAATTTGCTTGATCTGTGTCTTAGTTAGGGTTTCTATTGCTACAGCAAAACACTATGACCGAAATGCAAGTTGGGGAGGAAAGAAGTTTACACTTCTATATCACTGTTCATCATCGAAGGAAGTCAGGAATTCAAACAGGGTAGGATCCTGCAGGCACAAGCTGATGTAGAGGCCATGGAAGGGTGCTGCTTACTGGCTTGCTCACTATGGCTTGCTCAGCCTGCTTATAGAACCTAGTATCAACAGCCCTGGGTGTCACCACTCACAACGGGCTGGGCCCTGCCCCTTTAATCACTAATTTAGAAAATGCCCTACAGCCAGGCGGCGGTGGCGCACGCCTTTAATCCCAGCACTCGGGAGGCAGAGGCAGGCAGATCTCTGAGAGTTCGAGACCAGCCTGGTCTACAAGAGCTAGTTCCAGGATAGGCTCCAAAACCACAGAGAAACCCTGTCTTGAAAACAAAAAAAAAAAAAAAAAAAAAGAAAAAAAAGAAAATGCCCTACAAACTGGACTTGGTGACACATTCCTTTAATCCCAGCTGTGAGTTCAAGGACAGCCTGGCGTACTAACGGAGTTCCTGGACAGCCAGGGCTGTCACAGAGAAACCCAGCTTTGAAAAACAAACAAACAAACATGCCCTACAGCCAAATCTTATAGAGGCATTTTCTTTTTTCTTTTTTTCTTTTTTTTTGGTTTTTCGAGACAGGGTTTCTCTGTGGTTTTGGAGCCACATTAACTTTAAATGCCAAGAAAAAACCCCACACATTGGGTTTGAGAACAGAGGCAGTCTTTCAGTGTGGAGCTGGGGCTTAATGTTTTAGCATGGTTCTGCTTGACTCTGAGCCTTGTTCACAGTAGGGAATTCATGTTGCTGGGGTAGGTGAGGGATGGTATTTGGAAGCGCAGTGTTGGCAAGAAACTATGACGAGGTCCTACATTCTTGGGGTCAGGCCGGGGCAGAGGTGCAGCCTCAGTTCTGGGCCGGAGAGCTTTCAGCCCCTACTGTTGGAACCTTTAGGAGTGTGAGCAAATGAACTGCTCAATAGACCTGTTTCAGGCCCAGCTGAAGTGGGAGGAGAGCTGGGGATAATGAGGCCATTCAGATGTGTATGAGCACCTTTGACATGCCAGAGACCGAGTGCTGGACCGGCAGGTACAGCCCATGGAGACAGTGGGAGAAGGGCCCGGGCACGTGTGAATATGCATGCTGACTGAAGTTCTGTGAAGGTCATAACTTGGGCTTGTTGGCAGAATTCCAGCATCCTACAAGG